TTCTCTCTTTCTCTTTCTCTCTCCCTTTCTCTTTCTCTCTCTCCCTTTCTCTTTCTCTCTCCCTTTCTCTCTCTCTCCATATACACATACACATACACACATATACATACACATACACACATATACATACAAATACACACATATACATACACATACACACACATACATATATATCTACATCTCTCTCTCTCCCTCTCTCTCTCTCTCTCTCTCTCTCAGGCCAACTATTCCTAAAGATAATTCACACCTCTGTCTGGGCTGGCCAGAAGCGCTTAACCCAACTAACACACACATACACATACTTATATCTATCTACATCTATCTATCTATCTATCTATATATATATATATATATATATATATATATATATATATATATATATATATATATATATATATGTATGTGTTGCAGGCCAACTATTCCTAAAGATAATCCACACATCCGTCTGGGCCGGCCAGAAACGTCTAACCCAGTTAGCGCGATGGAAAACGGCAGAAGAGGTAGCCGCTTTAATTCGTTCTCTTCCCGTTGAGGAGCAGCCTAAACAGATAATAGCGACAAGAAAGGGGATGCTAGATCCTTTAGAAGTGCATTTGTTAGATTTTCCTAATATAGTAATAAAGGGTAGTGAGCTTAATTTACCCTTTCAGGGGTTAATGAAGATAGAGAAGTTCGGCGATTTAATACTAAAAGCAACACAGCCAGAGATGGTTTTATTTTGTTTATATGATGATTGGCTAAAATCTATCTCCCCATACACTGCATTCTCTAGGTTATTGTTGTTGTTGAGAGCTATACAAGTAAATACAGATAGAACGAAAGTTTTATTGAAGCCTAATAAACATACACTCACACATACACACCATGTGTGGCCGACTCTAACGGATGATGAATGGATACATACAGAGGTAGCACTAAAAGATATTATTTTAGTTGATTACGCTAAAAAAAATAATGTTAATATAGCATCTCTTACACAAAGCGAAATAAGAGATATTATATTAGGAATGGAGATAGCTCCCCCATCTATACAAAGACAACAAATAACAGAAATAGAAACACAAGCAAGAGAACAGCAACAGGTGACCTCGACAACTACAAAAAGTTTTAATATACACGGAGAAGAGATGGTAGTCTCCAC